GGGGGCTAACTCCTGTCAGTGTCGAGTGGGCTCAGTGTGTGGTCCGGATGTAGGACCACAGGTTTCTCAGTGTACCTCAGAAGGGAGATTTCTTTAAGGGCACAGGGGCACTAAGATGAAGTCTGCCCAGTCATTGACTCCAGCGTCCACAGTGACATAGGACTGACTTGTGGACGAAGCCCTCCTGAAAGGGATGGTCACCATGACAGTTCCTGAGGACAAACCAAGGTCAAAAACTCCCCACGCAATGTGGAGGAGGAGCTGAACATAGCAAGGTGAAGACTGGAGAAGGTAGACCGCAGTTCCCAGGACAAACACAACAGTAAGGCACTTGGAAGTAGCATGAAGAATCCTGTGTCATTCTCCGCTCAGAGATGACCCACTGAATCCCGAGAGCGTTCTCTGCTTGAGCCTTACTTTATTTTCACTTATAATGAATTTCTCTTGGCTCAGCTTTTTGTGTTTGACTTTACATTTTCTTTCACTGGGACACAGAACTGATTCTTGGAGCTTCAGCTCCCCACTCTCCCGTGACACATTTCCCTTCAAGTAAGTACCACCACATGCCAAAACCCCTAGGGACAGGGGGATGGCCAGGCCTGCTGCCTGCCCCTGCCATGCTGCCTGCCCACATTCAACCAGACTTACATCAGATGAACATCTCTTTCAATCTTTTCTTTTACATCTGTTTTCCTGAATAAATTCAAGATAGTTAATGTGCCTGTGCACTTGCAGGTCTCAAGAAGTCTTCCTTTCATGTTATTTTAATGTTTTAGCTGATTTTATACTTGCTGAAGGATTTTCATTTGCAACACTGAAGACTTCTTTGCTTTGTAACATCCTGTTGGAATGATGAAAAGCCAGGTCAACCTTTAAGGAAAAATTTTGATTGACATAATGCTTTTACAACCAACCACAATGCCAGAGATAAGAATTCAATAGAATAATATTTTAAGAGTTGAATTGTGGGTAGCCAAAATCTTTTCAAGATGAGGGCATAGAAGATGATTTTATCAGAATATGCATTTCAAAACTTTCGTGTCATATAAATCCTATAGTAAATATTCCTAAAGGAAGGGGAAGGGGCTCTGTAGGAGGAGGGAAAAAGAGGGAATTAGAAATCATCTAATAGTATGTTATATGCACGTATGAAATTATGAAAATGAATTCCATTATTTTGTACAAATAATGTTATGGTTTGGATATGAGGTGTCTCCCAAAATCTCCTGTAAATACAGGAATGTCCAGAGGTGAAATTATTGGATTGTGAAAGCTGTAACCTGATCATTCCATCCTGATTTGGATGGACTGATGAGATGGTAACTGTAGGCACGTGGGACATGGCTGGAGGAGGTGGGTCACTGGGGATGTGCCCTGGAAAAGTACAAACCCCTGCAACTTTTCTCTTTGCTTCCTGATCTCACCTTGAACTGAGCAGCTCTCCTCCTCCACTGGGCCCTTCCCCCTCGGGCCCAGAGCAATGGAGTTGGTCGTCTGTGGACTGAGACCTCCGAAACCATGAGCCCCACATAAGCTTTTCCTCCTCTAAGTTGTTCTTGTCAGGTATTTTGGTCACAGTGACCAAAAAAAAAAAAAACTATTTAAAACAATTAATATGCACTAATAATAAAAAAAAGTTTTAAAGGAAAATAACCCATTGGACTAAGAACTGTCATGGTGGTCAAGGCAGAAGTAGAGGGGCCAGAGGGGGCAAAGGAGACAAACATCTCCGCTTTCCTTCCACCACCCACCAGCCACTCTGTCCTGAAAAACACCACTCTAATCCCTGCCAGATTGGGATTTTGTTTTTTAATTCCACATACATGAAATCATGCAGTATTTTGGCTGTGCATCATAACATCCTCTGGGTTCATCCAAATTGTCCCAGATGAATAGATTTTTCTTCTTTTTTATGGATGAATATTTCATTATCTATTGTATTTAACTTATCCATTGATCTGTCAGTGGACACTTAGACTGTTTCCACCTCTTGACTGTAAGGTACATGGGATGCAGATCTCTCTTCAAAACAGTGATTTTAGTTGCTTGGGATATACCCAGAAGTGAGATTGTTAGATCATATGATAGTTCCACCTTTAATTTTTGAGGAACCTCCATGCTGCTTTCCTCAACAGGTGCACCAATACCTTCCCACCAACTATGTACAAGATTTCTCTTTTCCCAACATCTTTGCCACAATTTGTTATCTTCTACTTTTTAATAATACCCATCCTAACAGGTGAGAGTTGGTATTTCATTGTGGTTTTGATTTATATTTCCTGGATGACTGGTGTTTTTGTCAGCCTTTTTCACCACTGTGACCAAAAGACCTGACGAGAACAATAGAGTGGAGAAGAAGTTTATTTGGAGATCATGATTTCAGAGGTCTCGGTTCATAGACAGCCAACTCCATTCTGGGCCCAAGATGAGACAGAAGAGCCAGGGGAGAGCAGCTCAGGACATGAGAACAAGGAAGCAGAGAAAGAACTTCACTTGCCAAAATGAATTTTGTACAAAATCCAAACCCCAAATGCATGGCCCCCTTCCCCATTACCTACCTCCCCCAGTTACACCCTACCTGCCTACAGATACCACCCAGTTAATTCATTCAAGTAGATTAATGCAATGATTAGGTTACAGTTCTCATAACCCAATTATTTCACCTCTGAACTTTCTTGCATTGTCTCACAAGTGAGCTTCTGAGGAACACCTCATATTTAAACCAAATCAACTGAAAATGTTGAGCATCTTTCTATATACCTGTTGACCATCTCTGTCTTCTTAGAAAAATGTCTATTCCAATCCTTTGGAGTTGGATAAGTTCCTGGTATATTTTAACTATTAACCCCTTAATGGATACAGGGTTTACAAATAGTTTTCCCACTCCATATGTTGCCTTTTATTTTATTTATTGTCTCCTTTTATTTACAGAAACCCTTAGTTTAATATGACCCCACTTACTTTTGTTATAGTTGCCTATATCTTCAATGTAAAAAAAAAAAATTAGCCAACACCAACGTCTAAGTAGCTTTCCCATTTTTCTCCTGGGAATTCTGTGGTCTCAAGTCTTGCATTTAAGTGTTCTGTCCATTTGGAGTTGATTTTTGTGATGGGATGAGATAAGAGTCCACTTTCCTTGTGTTGCATATGGGTATCCAGTTTTTCAGTATTGCTGAAGGAACTAGCCCTGTAGTATGCTTGTTGAAGACTAGATGAGCATATATGTGAATTTCTTTCTGGGCTCTCTATTCTGCTCCATTGGTTGTCTGGTTTTTTAAAATTTATTTATATAAGTTGTAGTTGGATGCAGTACCTTTATTTTTATTTATTATTTATTTTTATGTGGTGCTGAGGATTGAACCCAGGGCCTTGCATGTGCTAGGCAAGTGCTCTACCGCTGAACCACAACCCCAGCCCCAATTTGGTTTTATGCCATAATATAATTTGAGCTTGGGTAGTATATACCTCTAGATTTGTTCTTTTTCCTCAAGATTCCTTTTTCTATTTGGGGTATTTTGTACTTCCTAGCTATTAATTTAATACCTTAGCCATTGTGAACAGTGATACAACAGATATGGGCATGCAGGTATTTGGTATGCTGGTTTCATTTCCAATGAATATAAACCCAAAAGGGGGGGTAGATGAATCATATAGATTTATTCTTAATTTTTTATTCTAACTTGTTATGTATTTCAGCAGAATGCATAATTCATTTTACACATATAGAGCAGACTTTTTCATATCTGATTGTTTACAAAGTATATCCACACATTCCTGTCTTCGTACATGTATTTAGGGTAATGATGTCCATCTCATTCCACAGTATTCTCTACCCCTTTGTCCCCTCCTTTCCCTCTCACCCCTTTGCCCTATCTAGAGTTTATCTATTCCATCCAGGCCCCCCTCAACTCCATTATGAATCAGCCTCCTTATACCAGAGAAAACATTCGGCATTGGATTTAGGGGGATTGGCTTACTTCACTTAGCATTATATTCTCCAGCTCCATCCATTTACCTGCAAATGCCATGATTTCATTCTCCAGAATATAAAAATCCAGAAATATAAAAGCTACACACTTACAAAAATGTCATTTGAAGTTGTAGCTACTTCTAATTCTTCCATATTTAATGAATTTGGAATTGTTGTTTTAATTTTATGTCATTAGGTCTCTGATGGGAAATCATACAAACATTTTAAAAGTT